GCGCCTATTTCCAAAATTTATAGAGGGCAGCGGGGTTATTCACCTAACATTTTTGTCCAGAATGGGCATTGGCATAGCAATATCATAATCATGATAGACAACGACTTAAGTTTTGAAACCATTGGAGGTAACAATACTCATTTACCAAACTATATGGGATGTTGGTGCAATAAACTTATTAGTTTTAAGTTTTTTAATTTATTTTTTCAAAGATTGGTATATAAATTAAAAATAAACTTTCAAATTTGAAAACTACGTCAAAAGTATTACATAATAAAATGTAAAAAAATTATTTTCACATACTCCGTATAATCAATAAAAACTTAAAAATAAATAAAAATTACCAGAATTTGAGACAGTGAAGAGTGTAAATCTTTTTGGGAAAGAGAATAGAAAATACAATAATGAATTTCATCTAAAATAAGTATTCAAATAATATAAGTGAAAAAAATTTCAAAGCTTCATTCTTTTGTTGAGAGAAGAAGCTAAGTGAAGACCAATGTTATTAAAACCGGACCGGCCGGTCCAACCGGTTGGACCGTGAACCGGACATCAATCCGGTCCGGTTCAACATCAAAACTCGCCCTTACATTGACCCGCTGAAAACCGGAAAAACCGGCGAACCGGCTGACCCGGGTCAGCCCATCCGGTTCCCGGTTTCCAATCAAAATGTTTTAAATTTGATTAAAAATTTCGAAAGCTGGGTTCGAACTCTGCCACCAAAGCTGGGGAATTGAGCTACTAACCAAATGAGCTGCTACAGCTTTTGTTTACTCTGCGATATATTGTAGTATATATTACCTTCCTAAACTATTTAGAGAGTATTTTTAAAAAAACTTCAAATTACTTAAAAAAGAACTATGTTTATATAATATAGTTATATTGTTGATTTTTAAAGTAGTTCAAACTTAAATATAATTAGTATAATTTATTTTTTATCTTAAGAAAACTATAAATAATCTATACTTAATGCATTATCTTTTATCTTTAAGTTTTTAATTATAATTTAATATATTGCTTTTTTATATTTTCAATCATTTTAATCAACTAAGATATAAATTTTTCAATCTTTAAATTATTAATTAAAATCATTTTAATCAACTAAAATATAAGTATTACCTTATAATTTAAGTGTGTGTTAGACATTCAATATTAATTTTTAATAATAATAAAAGTAATAGAAAAAAATAGAAATTGTAAATTAAAATATATACAATGATATTAAAACTAGACGGAGAAGTAAAAACACAAGCTAAATACTTTTTTAACTAAAAATATCTAATGGTATAATATAAAATATTAATATTTTAATTATAGTTTGACCGAGTCGTTGACCCGAGTTGACCCCGGTTCAACCGGTTAACCCTTGACCCAGTGCTTTGTCCGAGTCGACGTCCGGTCCGGTTTTCAGAACATTGGTGAAGACTTGAGGAAGTATATTAGAGCTCTTTATCGGCGGCACTTTGCCGAGGGGCCGGGGGCACATGCTCCCCTCCGTCTCCTTTGCCGAGGGGGGAGGGGTTTTGAAAGATTAGTATTTAAATACCTAATAGGGTATTCGAATCTCCAGTGCCCACCCCCTCTCCTTCTCCTTTGCCCCTGGCATCGCAAACTTTTCTACAATATAATAGGGTTTTGAAAGTTTAGCATTTGAATGCCTGATAGATTGTTGGTTTCGAATACTACTTTTAGTATGGTGTATTTGAATGCCTTAGTTTTTCAGTCTACCTTTTGAAGCCGTTCATAAAAAAAAATCAGATAAGTTTATATGATACAACGCCTACCTACCAAAATAAAAACTTATTGCTTGGACCTCATTGCCAATTCTTCGTTCTAAATCTCTAGGTCATAATATTGTCGAGGGGCTAATAGCGCTGGTACCCCTCGTGGTTTGCAAAACATGCACCAATACCCCCTCTATTTTCAAAACTCATTTCTAAAATCCCCGTGGTTTTAAAAAGCTGCACCCATGCCCCCTCTGATCAATTTCCGGCCATTTTTCCGGCGAAGAAGGGGGGCATCGGTGCATATTTTTTAAATCATAGGGGGTATCAGTGCTGATTTTTATTTCTCGCAAATTTTTTCCATTTTTGTTTCATTTATTAATAAAGGTTTTTTTTAAAAATATTTTTATAATGTTCTTAAAATTTAAAGTTATTTTTGTTTGAAAAAATTAACATATAATGCATATGTATGTCTCAAATTAACAAATTTTTTTTTGTGAATAAAAAGTAATTTTTTTTAGAACTTCAAAAAAATGAGGAATAAAATAAGAAACAAAATAATACAAAAATAAAAATGAATATCCTTTTCGGACATTTCAATTCTAAAGACTTTTTTAGGCGTGTCCAAATTTTTTTTGTATAAGACTTTTTTTCCGTATTTTAATTTTTTCTTTTCGATTTTCCATATTTTATTTTTTTATTCTGGGTTTTTTTTGAAATTTTCAAAAAATAATTCTAAGTAACAAAAAGTGAAAATGTTTAATTTGGGATAGATGTAATAATGTATGTTAATCTTTTATTTCTATTTTTATTTCAAACACAAAGAATTTTAAAATTTTTGAAACATTATAAAAAATTGAAAATATATTTTTAAAAAAAAACTAGGAAAAGGAAAAAGAGATAGAAAATATTAAAAAAAGGGAAAAATAATAAACGAAAATAAGAAATGAGCACGAATGCCCCCTATGGTTTAGAAATTATGCGTCAATGCCCCCTCTTCGCCGGAAAATGACCGGAAAATGATCAGAGGGGGTGTTGGTGCAACGTTTTGAAACCACGGGGACTTTAGAAATAAGTTTTGAAAACAGAGGAGGTATTGGTGCCAATTTTCCAAACCACAGGGGGCGTCAGAGCTATTTGGCCTATTGTCGAGAGAGGATGTACTCTGATCTATATCTCCTATTTGTATCAATATTTATAATGACTTTACACCTAGTAAAGTCATTATTGCTAGTATGACTTTACACCTAGTCATTTTCTCCAATTATATATCCTAAATAGTTTGATGACACTAAAATCTAACTCTAAATTTGTCATCCTTGACTGTGCAGCGGGTCGGGTCGGAGGACAAACCTTCTATGATCAGTTGTGCACGCATAGGTTTCTTTGGTTGGAGCAAAGGATTAATCCACTTATTTCTCAACTATAATGGTGGAGCAAAGTCATACAAAAACGCAAACTAATGTTTGCCTACTCTTTTTTTTAATCCCAAAAAGTGTATACAAATAGAGGGAGAGGTACCCCATTTTGGTGTACCCCTAAGTGTATTCTATAAGAAATGAAAAGCCCGTGTTAACATATATGCAAGTAGCTCGAAGGGGTACCAACACCTTGTTCTTTTGAGTTGAGATATCAAAGTTGGATGTTAGAAGAAACTAAAAGGAGTTAAAAAATACTGAAAGTTGGAAAATGTTGAAAGAAAGAACTTAACTATAAAAAAAATCACTCAATCAAATGATCATCTAAATAAATATGTATGGAGATTTTAATTTTGGATGAAAAAAATTCATCATTGTCCGTGTTTGATGTGATATGTTATAAATTTGAATATATAATGTTACTTTATATTATTACATATATAAATACTTTTTTAAGTCGTTGTTAGAAGAAACTGTGAGTTGGAAGGAAATGGAAGGAGTTGAAAGAAACATGAAAGAATTAGAAGAAATTGGAAGTTAATTTTTTCAACCTAAAAAAACAGGGTCCAAGTCTTTGCATTTGCATAGAGAGATTCATTTTACTATGTCAACTCATTTCGTTAAACTATATTCAACTCATCCAGTTAGACGAGATGAGTTTACCTAATGAAACAAATCCTTACACAAATCAAAATTATTAGGTCTTGATTTTGATTTGTGGAAGTAGATAGAATATGGGTGAACAAGGCCAAGGACTAAGTGCTTGTTTGTTCAGCCGATGATGGAATATATATAGATATACCAAACTACGAGCAAGTTAAAATCTCATCAAATCTTTTGACTCCCACTTCATATCTCCCCTATATATACATTTCCCCTACCCATTGCCCATAACCCACCACAAAACCTTCTTCTTAATTGCTCCAACCAAACCATCCATTCCAAAAGCCAAAGGACTTTAAAAGCATTGAAACAAAAAAAAATGGCCACCACCAAGGACTTCCTCCTCGTCTCCCTCGTGATCACGTTGTGCCTAGCAAGCACAAAGACTAGCTCCGCCGCCTCCGCTCGCCGCCTCATGCAAAACCCTAGGGTTCCGCCACTGGCGGCGACAGTTCCCCCTCTGCCCCAAAAGCCTTCATTTCCTAACACCATGCCTCCTCTCCCACCTTTCAACTTGCCCAATATAATACCTATCCCGACCACCCTGCCGCCTACCCCAAGCTTTCTCACTCTCCCCCCGTTGCCCACCGCAGCGCCGAACTTTCCCGCCATTTCTTCTCCGCCTCCGTCAAAGTGATCTAATCATATTTGAGGGTCTTAATTGGGATATATATAGTACTATAATACTCATATTGGTTGGTTTGGTATGTCATCAAGATCATGTCATTTGTGCCTGTAGATCTGTTTTGTTTGATTTGCCTGTGTTCGATTATTCACTTGTGAGTGTTGGTTGTTTCACTTGTTTTACACTTTTACCATGTGGTTAAATTTAAATAAATAGATTAGTGTTTTTTGTTTTGACCGTTTGATGAATTTAAGTATTTCTAAACAGTGCAGAAGCTATATCTTAAATTTTGTATGATTCCTGGGCAACTAAAAATCCAAGAAAATCTAAAGTAAAGTGGTGAAAAATCTGTATTGGAATAAAACCACGGCACGAAAAAATGGCACCCTTCATCTTTACTACTCCCTTCGTCCGATAACTTTCGTTGTTTAGAATCGAAAAGCAATACCAAACAACCAAGGAACAATTTGCTAAAAAAGAAATGAGGAGAAATTAGGGTGACTCAAAATGACAAATTAAGAAGAAAAATATGTAACATGAGTAGATACTGAAGCTTGTTAAGATAGATCTTAAGATGTTTGCCTAATTGCACTAGGGAAAACTAGGAAAAACACACAACCCAAACATGTTAAACCTCCACTAATACACTTCATTTTCTATATAAACATGTCAGGCCAAAGTGTCAAACCAGAAAGAAAATATTACGGAGTTGAACATTGAGATTAACTAGTGAACCCGAAAATATCAGTTATTGTTCAAGTGAAATGAACAACATGAGAATCTGGAAGTAAACAACAAAGAAGTCCATTGTTCCAGTCACCCACATTTGTTTCCAAGTCCATGTATGGCTTTTGTTGGCAATCCATAAGCAATTACTATTATACCCATACTATTGTTGTATATAATGTAGCTTTTTTTCTAAAGAAGTACAACTAGAAGGATAGCCCGGTACAACCCTGAACTTGAAGCATGTTAAACCCTTCATCTTTTTTAGCCCAAAAACTCCCCTTAAAACCCGCTTATGGCGCTTAATATTCCCTCCCCATGCTTCCTTGGGGGGTCAAACCCGAGGGAGCAGCCCCAATATCTGTTAGTTGGTCCTTCATCCACTTGACAAGGGGATTGCCCAGTTGTATATACCGTGCCATTCTAGCTTTTCACACATGTATATACACTACCCACACCATGAGTAACTGATCATTTACTCAAAGTGAACTCAAAATATTCTTATACATACAATTGCAGGATTGAATTTCCAAATCATACCGTAGAATATAGTTATTGTACGGTATATATGTAACCATTTTGCACTCAATCAAAACAAGGCCCAAGTGCACACAGAGAACATCACATTACCTATTATTGTGGCAGGAACATCTTTCTCTGCTATGGTCTATGGAAACTGAGAAGAACACTTTGAGTAAGACACAATATGCTAACAGCCGAGTCTAGACAAGAAACTAGAAAATCACATGGCATTAAAGATTTGAAGTCCAATTCAGAGATTGAAATATCAATTGTCTAGACAAAGGTGATCCCTCTATATATAACAGAACAGAACAAATCAGACTGAAATGGACTTGATTCAAAATTTAAGCTACAATTCAAGATATAGTAAGTAAAAATAACATTAAAAACTCCCCTCTTCAAGATATGATCAAAACCTCTCGGCCATTCTTGAGGTGACAGCTCTAAGCTTGGAATACACCTTCCCTGCAGGAGACCCCATGATCAGACTACAGAGTGCATTTCTTGCAACCTTAATGTTCGCAAACGAGCCCAAAATGTGTATCCGGGAATCCGCAATCACGATGCGAGTCTTTGTCGAGTTCTCAATTGCAAACTTTGTTTTCCCTCCCTTGCCGGACAACCTCCCAATGGCCCGGGACAAATGCTCCCCACGGAGGGTCTTCACGTCCTTGATCTCAAAGGAATCGACATAGAGCTCGTCCAGGCGGAGGAGGGCGACGGCGTCGCAGACGTCGAAGCCGAGCGTGAAGGCGTGGACGAAATCGGCGCACTTTTGGATGTTGCTGATGTCAGGTGTGTCGGGTCGGGTCTTCAGCTCGACCCGGCGACCCTTGAGGTTCATTCGGATGTCGATTTTCATCTCCTCGTAGATTGGGGTGTAGATGTCCAGCCATGCTTTCTTGAGCGGCGTGTACCGGTGCGCCGGCACCGGCACTTTCCGGAACTGCACTTGGCCGTCGGAGATTTCAGAAGCTGAGAGTGGCTTGAAGTTTGGCTTCGCCGGGAATCCGGCGACCGCAGGAGATGCATCCATTGCTCCGAGGCAGCTTGCGAGGGCAGAAGAGAAGAGGGCTTAGGGTTTGGAGCCTTGGAGGAGCCTTCTTATTCGAGGGAGGAGGACCTACTTTGTTTTGTTTATTTAGTAGGAGTAAAATTAGAGTATAGCCCAATAACAGGCCCAAGTTGAGTCGGACATGGTTCCAATTTCGAATTGGTACAAGTGACTTTAAAACTTAAACTGAAATCGTTAAGGTAGGTATTAGAATAGTGGAACCGCCCGGTAAGATGCTAAATTGTAAAAGAATACTAGTATTTTTACCCGTGCAAACAAACTTTTTATTGGTTCTAAAACTTTTTTAATGCAATATTTTTTCCCAGAATAAAGAACATATATTTCCCTATGATTTTAAATACTGTATACAAAAATTCCAAAGTAGAATAAACAATATTTGAGGAATTGAATGTGTATTCAACTAAGTTTTTTTAATACCAAACTTTTGAAAGACTGTAGGGTATATAATTTTTTTGATATGGTTGCAAGGGTATCATGCATTGTCATTTAGAACCAATATTTTTAATTGTGTTTTTGTCTTCACTCATAGAACCATAACATAAAACTGACCATGAGTGAATACCAACTTGGTTAAAAGTAATGCAAGAAATGACAATGTTTGACTTTGACTTTTGTTGATACTCATTGCAAAATATAAGATTATTTGGATTTGCCTTATAAATAACTTCAAGAGTAGTCATAGATCAGATGGTATCAATTTCATTTGGAATATGTAAACTTTTTGCTGACTCGATTTCTCAAAACCACAATAGACCAACTACATTCTTTCACAGCTTTTCAAGGATTAATCGTGTACCATTACATAATCCATATATTTGGTCAATGTTTCTCAATATCAAAATCGTTAACCCATTTTTAAGATTATTTTATAGTTTTGGATCCCTGAACATTTGATTTCATTTAAAATTTAATTGTTATTTAATTGTCATCAATAATTACATCTGAATCGGCCTGACATGAAGAATCAAAACTCAGGCACACCATTTCATATTAGGGAATAAGGGATATGACAAATTCATTTACCATTTCTACAACCTCAAAGATGGTCGGTCCAGTAGTGCCCTATCCTAAAAAATGAATAAATTTTCATACTCCCCAATAGGTTCAATTAGGATAAGTGAAGTCCACTATACTCTTCACAAAATAACTTGTGTCTAGAATTAATAATTTATGCGGAATTTTAAGGTCAGTTGTTTCATCAATCACTTGTCTAAGTTTTTCATCTCTAACTTTAATTATCCAATCAAAATTAATTTATGTGTCTCTATCTAAGATAGAGGATGTAGAAGAATGTAATATCATATTTTTCGCTAACATATAAATTTTAAAATACGACCATAATTTTAAAGAATAGATGATAGCACTCACAATTTTCTCTCTTGAAGTTTTGGATAAAATGGGAAGAGTTTGCCAAAAATCACCTCTTTACAACTATTTTCCATTCGAGTCCTACTTTTTCCCCTCCGAATTCAACTATTTTCCCTCCAAATGGTTCTCTTCTAGAGTTTTTATTAGAGAAATTCATTACATCTCTCACTTTGTGATCCAACACCTTAAAAATAAATCTATTCATCATACATGCTCCATCCCATATTATTAGACTTACTTGTTGGATTAGTTCTGCTTTCGGACTCTCTTGTTTGATGGCACACATTATGCAATCGTCCAAAGAGATTGAGAATCTCAAGTGTAATGTCATTCACCCATGTCCTTCCCCCATGAAAAAGTAATGCTACCATACAACTGGATGTGACATTCAAGACAATCTTATCATTTGACATTAGAGAAATAAACACTGATTTCCATAAAAAATATTTTTTCAGTTCCACTGTAACAATACATAAAAAAGGAACCTCCTCTTTCAGGTGTCACAACTTTCATTATCTCATCGTATATATTGTGCTGATATTCATTCATCGTAGATAAGTATCTCATAAGATCATATGCAAACTTTTCTTTTTCACTTTTATAATGCAAAATCATTCAAGCCCTTGATAGTATTCTTGTCAATATACAAAATGTTTTATCAAAATACAAATAATTATAAATTTGAAATTATATTTCTCTTTGATGTGGTTGTTACTTGTCTTAGTCTCGATCTTATTAGTCTCCATTCGGATTTAATATTTTCATTTGACTTTTCTTGGTCAAATTTTGTTTACTTTAACCTTGTTATATAGAAAAAAGGAATCTCTTCTTGTTTAGTAGCTAAATAATAAATTTTGGAGTTCCGATCAACAAAATTGGAAATCTGTTCTCGTAAGCTCCGCAAATAATATGGAAAATAATATAATTCACCAAAAAATAATGCTATCAATTTCCTTTTTAAATAGATTACTAACAATGTCCTCCCTTAAACTTACCAAATGAAGTGTGAGTTCATCATCAATTACACAATAGTTTTCATAATTTCACCTATCTACACTATAGAAGAAAAAAAGTAAGGTATGCAAAGAGGTTCCCAAGAAGTTGAAGGAAAGATGATGATTTTGTAAAATAAAAAAAGATATATAAGGTAATATAAGTGTAGAAGGAAACTTTTGGTAGTTACTACTCCATATATATTACTCTGTATATATTTCCTAAACAAAACTTAAAAAATCACTCAAATAGAAGTAACACATACATAGTAACTCTTATGCCCAGAATAAGAGTTCAATATTTTTATTTCCAAAATAAAGTTTACACAGTAACGTTGTGGTACTGTATATTACCATTTCATAATGTTTTTAGCACTATATAATAAAATATTGGTATTGTAGTTAATATTTTGGAGATAAAAATACGAAACTCACATTTTGGAACTTTCTTCATATTCTAATCTTATTTTAGTTTTTTTCCCCAAATAATTATAGTGGCACTTCGTAATCCGTATAGGTGGCGGATGATTTGTTAAAATGTTGCCATGTAGACTCACGACTTATTGTATTCTATGAGTTTAAATCTTAAATTTAATATATAAAGATAAAGATTGGCCTCGATATATGAAAAAACAATTTTTGTTTATCTATAAATGCAATATCAATAATATTTTTTAAAACGTTGTTTTGAAATATGAATTTTCATAAGATACGATAAGTATAAATAGTGATATTAATGATCAAAATATTATATTGGAGAGCGTTAAAAGTTAAATGATAAGATTAAATCTACTTATACAATGAGGAGTTTTAACATTTTATGGTCGTTTTTTTCAAGATATGTATCAACCAAACCCATTCTTTTTATTTAGCATAAGACCACTAACCTAAATATAAAATTAATAAAATTCATCCAAAGAAGTAGGTGAATAATTAATTATTCCATAAAAATGGATGAATCTAAATCACTTTTTTATGCAAAAATATACTCCCACCGTTCCTCATAGATCTTCTCATTAACCCTTTTTATATGTCCACCATAGATCTTCTCATTACCTTTTTTTAACAATTAAAATATATAACACAACTATTCCCACTTATTTTATTTATTACACCTCACCTACCTCATTTAATACACTCCACCCATTTTCATTAGGGTATTATGGTAAACTTTCACATTTTTTCAACTCTCCTTAAAAACAAAAAAAAGTCAAAATGAGAAGATCTTAAGGGGATGGAGGGAGTAATTCTAAATCCAAAAATAGAAAGTGTTCTTTACCCCCATACGTATATATGGTAAATAAATTGGTATGTTTAAATAGTTCTAAAAACTTTATTCATTAACTGTCTTAGTTCGCTTTGCTGTCAAATGCTTGAATAATTATTTATAAAAATATATGTAATGAATTGAAATATTAAAAATTAGACTATAATATCAAAATAAAAAATATGTTTGATAAAAAATTTCATTGGTCAAACATATCATTCGAAAAATGAACCGGGTGTTAAAAAGAATAGAGTTACTAATTCTTAACATTAACTGCAAGAAACTAAAAAGACAAATAATTTAGTCATTATGTTCAATCAATAAAAAATAAAATAATGTCAAATTAGTACTCCGTATGTTGATTAAAATTACCAACTCATTAAAATAATAAATAGACAACACATGATTTATTAAAAATGTCATATTAGCTCGTGACATGCCAATATCATGTAAGCCAGAGTCTCAAATTTTAAAATAAAAGGAAAGATTAGCCAATAAATGTCATTAGCAATTAATTGAAATTTTTTCAAAATTAACATTTATAACCTCCTAATTATAATGAATATTTGCTCTAATAAGATATTTTCATACTTTAAGTTAAAATTGCCAAGTCACCTAAGTCATCAAATGTGGCTGATGATGTGTAAAAAAAAAATTCCAAGTAGCCTGCCACATGTCGAATTTCTGGGAGTTTAACTCCCAAATATTATATATAAAGGATTTGAATAATCATACTCCATAATTTAAATATCGGTTTTGAATGATTTAACTTGCAATTTTTCTTCTTCTAAACCCTCAGTAGGAACAATTTTTCTTCTTCGAATCCCTCCTTTGATTGTGTCCACCTTTAAACGCCATTTGGGTAATAAACTCTGTAGCACCTTCCTCACGAGTTCTCGGTCGGTGTAATTCTTCCCGAAAATATTTAAAGGATTGATGATGTTAGTGAATCTCTCAAATATATCCTCTATCTTCTCTTTTTCCTTCATAGAGAAGAGCTCTCGTGGGTGAGTTGGTCAATCTTTGCTTCTCTAACTTGAGCGGTTCCTTTATAGGCGACCTCCAAGTTCTCCCACATTTGTTTTGCGATTTCACACCGTGATATTTTTCGGTAGTCATCTGCATTAACGTCACAATAAATCATGTTTATTACTTTGACGTTGAGCTACATCTTCTTGATGTCTTCATCGTTGAATTCCTTTTCAGTTTTGGGGACATTGACTTCTTCGAATTTCTTCATGGGAACATGTTAGGCGTGTCGTAGCACCTACAAATTAATTTATTATTTTCCTTAACTCTTAACCCCCTTTATGATTCAAAATTCATCAAAACATATAGATAGGGAAAGCAAGGGTCGATCCCACGAGGAAAGATACTTTTTAAGCTACGAAAACCAGTTCACTTGTCACTTTTATTGAATAAAAACTAACGAAAATCTAAAACTAAAACTAAGAGATATGGGGGGGTTTGAATGATAATTCTAAAAAGATAAAAATGCAAATAAAATAAAGATAAAGGATAACAGATAACAGATACGAGATACTACCACAGCAGCAAGCCGAACTCAGAAGTAAACTCAGGGAGGAACAAACACACAAACAATCACACATTAAACTTTATAAAACGTAGACAATAATAATTAACTTAAACCATTTTAAAAATACTTATAGTTTTTAATAGAAAATAAACTGAACAAATCAGATTGATCAATTAATTATGTCTTAATCCTGAAACTAAACTGCTAATTAAACTCAGGGTTAAGCTGAAGAAGAGATCCACCTGCGGTTCTTCCCTATTCTCCCTAATATAGCCTATGTTAAGACCTGCCCTAACTCTAGACCCTACTATTCTTAACAACCCAAGGACCTGCCCCCAGATTTAATTAAAAATAGAGCATTAAGTTCTTTGGAAAACATCACTTAACAACTATGCAGTAGACTATATCTATTTAACATAGCCAGGTTGAAAACTCTGATTAATAAAAATCAGGTGGGAGCCAATTAAGTATTAACCAGGTGACACTTGTGTTTTGAAAATCTCAGCTATAAACGCACTCAAGATCTTAAAACTGTCAATTGGAATTAGAGTTTAGGCGGCCGTCCTAAATTGATCTAATCCAAGTTTAAACAAAGACCTATTTTCAAACACCTTTTTGAGTTTAGATTTGACAGTAGCGCAAAGGCTAAAATTCCTTCAAAGTCAAATTAATCCAACAAAAATGACCAAGTCAAAGTTTCAATCTTTTTATCAAATAATTTGGGCTAAGAAGGTTTTATAATTTCAGAGACAATAATCAATCAATAAATCAACTTTGATCAATTCAACATCAACATTCAAACAATTCAACACTTATAATATAACTTAAACAATCAACAAACATTGGAATTGAAAATAAACATATTTAATACTGACAATCAAATTCATAAATTGAGAAACTTATAAATTGGAAAGTCTTAATTAAAGAATGAAATTAAAAAGGAGAAAATGGCTCCCCTGAGTTTCTGTGTTCGTCCGAACAGTGCACAGAAGCTAGGAGTCGGGGGAGTTCCCAATCACCGAAGCATCGATCTCGCCTTGCCGTCGCCGTCCAGACCTCCCGTCGTCGTCACCGCTGTGCAATTGCCGTCGTCGGAATCCATGGCCGGACCTAGGGCCGAAACCCTAGGTCGGCTTCTCCTCTGCTCTCGCGTGTTCTTCTTGTCTCTCTATACGTCTCTTCTCTTGCGTCGTGCGTTTATAGGGCTGCGAATTCAGATTTCCCTCTCAATCTAGGACTCAAGTTTGAATTGGAGTCTTCTTGCACTGCTGTTTCCGATCTGCTCTCTCTCTCGCCCCTCTTCCGTCTTTTCTGGGTTAATTGGATGAATGGGTCTAGTCCTAATTTGGGCTTGGCCCAACTTCTTTATTCTTCGGTTGTAGTGCCCAACTTTGACATCTTCTTCAACTCTTTGGATTCTAAAATATATCTAAAATTATTTGTTAATGAAAATAATATTTCCAAAATAATTGTCAAATATAAATATGCTCAAAATCATGCATTTTAAGTATAAAATGTAAACAATAGCCTAAAATGCTAAATGTAACCAAATATATTTATTTAAGTATAAAATGCATATAAAACATCATAAAAGTACCAAGAAATGAAGGAATAAAATATGACATTTTGTAACTCAACAGAACACCACAGCCATTCTTCACAATCAACCACAACTTATAGCCATTGGATTGAATTAAGATTCTCATCATTTTCTTCCAATATGAGTCATTTGTTCCATCGAACAATGGTGGCCTCATGGTGGATTGCGCTTCATTAACTCCTACATTGAACATTCTGGAAGTCATTGATCTTTGAGTTCCTAAAAAACAAAAAGTATTTGAAAAACTTTCTGCTACGATACCAATTGTTAGACAAAATGTGCAACTCTTGGGAGGGGAGGTGAATAGAGTTGTTTTCTAGAATGAGTGTTTTTTTTGCGTGTGTGATAAACGAAATGAAAAACTACAAGAAATATGTAAAGAGAAAAGGGAAAGAAGAACACCGCGATATATACTAGTTCACCACCTCGTGGCTAATCCAATCCTCGGAGAGACTCTCTCAAAGGTCCTACTATACTTCAAGCTTCAACGGGTACTTGAAAAACCGGTTACAACTCGAGAACTTGAATCTCACAAGCCTCAACTTCTTACAACAAGACTTGAATCACACAATTCTTATCAACAACCAAACTCAAGCAATATTGAGTTTAACAACACAAGAATGAGAGCTCATACAATTGAGCAAGTAGTGTTTGAAAGTGTTAAGTTCTAATGGATGACAATATCTTTTGCACTCAACAAAAATATTTCTAACGCTCAAAATAATATTTTGATGAAGAAGATTGGAGCAAGATTTGAAAGTAAGAGAAGGATTGAATAATGGAGTGCTAGTATTGTGAAGTAAATGAGGGAGGAAGAGGGATTTTATAGGGCTAATGAAAATAAATCCGTTGGAGATGGAGATAAAATGTTTTTGACAGAATTTACCACAGGTGATCCATCACCAAGAGTTAAAAAATTTGGTAAAAACTTCGATCACAACATCGGGTGATCGATACACATGCCTGGATCGATCACACGAAGAAAAACATGGGGTACATGAAGATTGATCCAATCAGGTGGATCGATATGCTGAAGGATTGCTCTGCATGCTGTGATTGATCCCTAGAGGTGGATTGATCCTCTGTAGAGTAATGTCCAAAGATGAAGGACCCAGGACATGTGTGCGAGTTGAAGTACATTTTTGGACTTATGGGTTTGTTTGGGACATTGTTATCAAGGGTAAGGCTCCCTGTCTTTTCAAGAATTATTCAAAATGAATTTTTGAATAAATGAAGGAAAATTTTTGGTGTAGAAATGAGTCCCAAAATTATTTTGTGTGTCAAATGATGTACACCAAAAATATTTAAAGATATATTTTTCTTAACCACAAAAAATTTATATCTTAAAAAGATATTTTAAGAAATTTTGATACACCTTTTTGTGACTAACTCAATAAAATATTTTTAGACAGAGAAATGTTTATTTTTAAACTGACTTAAAAAATAATAATTTATCCCACAAAAGATAATTTGTTTAAGTGAAAAATATTTGTGATCATTACAATTGTTCCTTTGACTCAATAAAAATAAAAAATGTTCAGAATCTTCACTTCAAAAAAAACTCTACGTAGGGGTGAGCATTGAAATGAACGTTGTAATTTTTTTTGATACGCCTCTTTGCTCTTTCGATTCGAAAATAAAATTTTTGATCGTCCTTTCGTTTTCATCGTTTCGTTTGTCATTTATCAAAACCTAGAAAATAATATTAACGAATATCCAAAAGGGGTTTGAACTCATATCCAACAACATTGTCAACTGTGCAACACCCACCAAACTTTCGTTTCCTTTGCTTATTGGAGGGGGATTTGTGTGGCATTAATGGGGAGTACATAGTAATTTTTTTCTATACTAATTTTGAGTGATAATATACTTTGTAGGAGCATGCTACATGTACCCCAAAATTTGTACCTCATTTATACATCAAAGGTATGCACCAACATTTTGATGGTCCACACTGGCACAAAGTGTTAGTGCGTTAAAAAAAATTTACACTGACACAAAGTGTTGATATGTTAACAAAAATTAGCATTACACCAATATAAAATGTTAATCCATCCCTATAGTGTACAAAATGAGGTACAAGTCTTTGGGGTATAAATAGTTTTATCCTACTCTGTACTCCATATTGAAGATGTTTGTATGAGAAATAATGGCATAGTAGTACAATGGCATTACTTATAAACAAATAGTTCTCTAAATGCGTCTCAAATAGGCATTATTATATTATGCAACTGTTTTGATTTACATTACATTATTTAATACTCAATTTTTTTATTATTTACATTACATCATTTAGTACTTTGTACGTACTAGGTTTGAGCCCATCAACAAACAAACACAACAAATTTATAAAATATATATATAATCCTCTGATCTGATCTGAATTGAATATAATCTTTGGAACATGAACAAATACAATTGTCATTTGTTAATGGGAAATGTTTTGGCTTTCACCTGTACGTATCTCAATTTCTTCATTTCCAAACAATACTTTCATATATGTACAAGCACATGTCCAAGAACATACAATAACACCTAGTTTCTTGATCTGTTTCTTGCAATAACACTTTTTAGGGAGATAGACCAAAGTAGGACTAAAACATTATATTGAAAATAAACCAAAATAGGACTTACATTACCAAACATGGTCATATACATTACTAAAAAAGTATAGTAACGTGCACATGTACAATTTAGTAAATTGCCCAAAAAAACTCTTATTGAGTTAGCTAGAGTCTTAGAAAAGTATAAGTGAGTGGTTGAAAATGGATCTAGAGGATGGAGAAATATTGTAAGCCACAAAAAATGGATGTAGACGAGTGAAGATAAATTGAACTTGCACCAAAGAGGCCGGATAGTATTGATATAAACAGTGTGGATAGTATGGTCACGCAGAAGACAATGAACCCTAAGGGCAGTGGTAATGGTCTTCACGCCCACTGGCGTGTTGGCCGAGTTTAACGCCGGGGGCGTTAAACACCGCCCCCAAGGGCTTCATCGCGGCATTAGGTGTACCGCGTCAAAGTTTTGACGTGTTTCTTCCCCTCCCCCCAACAGCCAAAAACGGCTATATAGCAGTTACCCCCCACCCCCCAAATTAAAAAAAATCTAAATAAAAAAAAACCTATAAATTCCCCTCAAAACAAACCTATCTCTCACACATTTCTCACTATCTTCTCTCCACAATTCTATCAATCTTTCAAATATTTGATTATTTATTATAAATGTTTACAAAACATATTTTAAAAGTGGGATCATTTTCATCCGACGATGAAAATGGAGCTCTCATTTTTCGTTGTTTCGCCACGAGTTTGTTCAATGGTGGGAACAAGGCGAAGAAGAAGAAGCCGAATCCTCCCGACGACGGATCTGGACCCGACGATAATGTTTAAACCGGGATTGAACGGCCGCCCACCCCACGCTTCACTTCTAAACGACTACCTTAATACTCCGTGTGTTTATACACTGGAGGATTTTATTAATCGTTTTTGGATGAGTCATCCTCGATCTCTTTTTACGCATACTCGACGATGTTGAACGCGAGGTGCATCGGTTCACCCATCGCTTTGATGCGAGATGCCGAAGCAGGCTTAGTAGTGTCCAGAAGTGCACTGCCGCACTCCGTCAGATTGCGTACGGGACGACATCTGATATGTTCAATGAATACTTGAAGATATCGGCTCGGAGCATCAGGTCATGTGTTTATAAATCTTCTAAAGCTATTATTCAAATTTATCATAAAAGATATTTACGCAAGCCTACAGCAAGCGACATTCAGCAGTTACAGGCAAGGCATGCCGCTAAACACGGCTTTGTCGCCATGCTTGAGAGTATTGATTGCACGCATTATTGGGAATGGAATAATTTTCCCACTGCGTGGCATGGTCAATTCTCCTGGGGAGATCATCCCAAACCTACTATCATGCTCGAAGCTGTTGCTTCAAGTGACTTGTGGTTTTGGCACGTTTTTTGGTGTCCTCGAACAATGACATCAATGTTCTCGATCAATCTTCTGTTTTTGATGATTGGATTAATGAGACCGCACCGACTCGTCTTTTGATCTTAATGGGACGCTTTACAAGCGTGGATATTATTTGGCCGATGAAATATATCCAGATTATTCCACGATTGTCAAGTCCCTCTCCGAACCAATGGGTCTTGAACGCCAGACCTACAAAAAAGCTCAAGAGGCAGCGAGAAAAGATATTGAACGAGCCTTTGGGGTCTTGAAGGCTAAATGTCACATTCTAGATCGACCGTCGAAATGTTTTTCTCAAACAAAAATGAGGAATATCATGTACGCATGTATTATTCTTCCTTATATGATCATAGAGGACAACGGGCCTGCAATTTGTCAATACAACCCGTACGATGAGGTGCCTATGTACGAAGAAATTGACGAAGAAAAGAAACAGAAAAACCACCAAGAAATTTGAAGCCAAGAGATTCACAATGCACTAATGGCGGATTTGATCGAACATATCATCAGTCGCTCGAATAATTAGTAATTTTTTTGTAGTGTTGTTTTTTGGGTGTAATATTTTTTAATGAATATAATTTTTTTTATGAATGTATTTTTTTATGAATGTAATATTTTTTTAATGAATGTAGTATTTTAGTGCACTAGTCTCATTTTGATTAATCTAAATAATAAATTAATTTAAATTTATTAATTTAAATTTAAAAGATGTATATTTAAAAATGTAAAAAATGAAGGTTTAATTCATTTGAAGCCTCTATTTGAAGCCCCGAGGCTTCAAACTTATTTCCACTGAATATGTGAAGCAAGTTAAATCTGATGCGGTAGAGAGAGAAATTTTGAAGCCCCGGGGCTTCAAGATTATTTCCAGTGCTCTAAGACGAGAAAAGTGAGCAAGTACCTAAAACATAAATTGTTTGGAAGCATAGTGGAGTCGTCAGAGTTGTTCTTAAGATAGTAGTGTTTGCCTGTCGTGCTAGAGAATTGTGAACACTCTCTTCACATGATAAAACTACTATCGCGTGTGATGGTTGGACTAATCAACCACACGCCTACGAACGAGAACAAGTCCGGAACGCTGCAAACCGAAAAAACATAGATAGTCCCAAAAATCATCGAGAAAAATCAAAATCTTGTCCTCTTCCAAACTTTTTGGAACTTATAGTATGCAGTAATGCACACTAATGATAATTAGTGGTAAGAGACATTAGTGGCAGGATTATTACGTCCATTACGCTACGCTTGTTCAAAATTTATCTCGTATAATGTAATGTTAATGACAATTAACTTCACAACAATAGACTAATTTTTATATATTTTACATATAAACAACAGAAGATTGGTCCAAAAAATATGCCAAGGCCCTGATCCAAGACGCTCTGACAATTCGCCTAAACGCTTACATGCTATCTTTTAGAAAATATATATTATTGATCGCATTACATTTTCTTTTATTCCTTATAATAATCTTATCATCTTTGCATGTCCTCTTTGTAGACCCGATTGACATTTCCAGCATGTCCTCCCGTTATGATTTTGATACAATTAAAGTCATAGCCAATGATTTTTCTAGTGAAATTGGGAGCGGTGGATTTGGTTGTGTATAATGAAGCTAAGCCCATGCATTTTGAATTTAGTTGCCAATCTTTACAAAATTTATCCTATTATTTTACAATTATTGTGTTACTTTTATAAATTAAACCCTAAACTTTCTTTCTTTCATTAGAGCAAGGTTCCTACGGGGGAGGAAGTGGCCGTAAAAAGGCTCTCTGAAACCTCCCAACAAGGGGTTAAAGAGTTTATAAATGAAGTTGAAATCCTCCTGAAGCTTCAACACCGAAATCTGGTTCGATTGTTGGGATACTGTTGTGAGGCAACTGAAAAAATACTTGTTTATGAGTTTGTCCCCAACAAAAGCCTTAACTTCTTCATATTTGGTTAGTCCCCAACAAAAGCCTACCGAATATATGTTTATGAAACTAACCAAATATGAAGAAGTTAAGGCTTTTGTTGGGGACAAACTCATAAACAAGTATTTTTTCTGTGGCCTCACAACAGTATCCCAGCAATCGAACAAGATTTCGGTGTTGAAGCTTCAGGAAGATTTCAACTTCATTTGTAAACTCTTTAACGCCTTGTTGGGAGGTTTCAGAGAGCCTTTTTACAGCCACTTCCTCCCCCATAGGAAGCTTGCTCTAATGAAAGAAAGAAAGTTTAGGGTTTAATTTATAAAAGTAACATAATAATTGTAAAATAACAAGATAAATTTTGTAAAGATTGGCAACTAAATTCAAAATGCATGGGCTTAGCTTCATTATACACAACCAAATCCACCGCTCCCAATTTCACTAGCAAAATCATTGGCTATGACTTTAATTGTATCAAAATCATAACGGGAGGACATGCTGGAAATGCCAATCGGGTCTACAAAGAGGACATACAAAGATGATAAGATTATTATAAGGAATAAAAGAAAATGTTATGCGATCAATAATATATATTTTCTAATAATTAACCTGCTGCACTTAAAGGCTGCATCTCATATTCTCTTTGGCGAGTAGTTTCAATCTCAAAAGACATGCGACTACAACTGCAAGTATAATCCCACCAAGTGAAACTGTACTTGCAACAATAGCCACCCTCAAGGAAGAATTTCCGTTGCTTCCTAGAAAAAATCAAAAAATGTTGTCGATACATGTTAGTAGCGATATTTATAGCGTGTGAATAATATAACATAGTATAACTGTATATTTACAATTTAAGAAACGGGATCCCATGTTTTCTTATTCCTGAATGACCTCTGTAGGGAGGCTTAGCATAGCCTCTGGGTAAATCCCTACACCCACTCATTCCCCGATTGTGTTGTTGTAAGACATGTGGTAAGAACATTGTTTTAAGAATTAAGTCCCATCTATTCAGAGTTTAACACTCCGTCAAAACGGACTGAAATCAAACCCTACTCTTTTTTGAGCATTAGAGTTCACCGTCATGAAATTGTCTAGAAATACAATTAATTAATTAAATTAATCCGCGTTATTAGCAAATAAAGCAATTAAATAATTGGTGCAAGTGCGCAACCCAAAGTATATTACTCGTTGTAGTTTTTAGTTCCTATTAATGGGAGTGTACCACCACATTCAAAGCAAATTATTGGTGTAAGTGCCCAACCCAAATTATTGTCTCTTTCTCTTGAAATATACTCGGTATTAACAAAAAATTATTAAAAGTAATACTACGGGTATATTAAAAAAAAATTCAAACTTAATAACTTAATATAATGTTTATATTTTAATTCTTTTTATAATTAAACATTTGGCATGCAAAGTAAATATGAGACTTAAAGCGTGTGGTATATACAATCACATAAAAAAGATGAGAAAATATACTTGCGTCCAATGATGTTGAGGGTGTTGATTTCGTTTTTGACAATACCTAAGCGGTAAATTTATTCACCTAACTACAATCAAAATAAGAAAAAAAATCTTTAATTAGTGCAGAGTGTAAAAATAGAAACTAATTCCCCTTTATTCCAATCTAAAGTAAAAGTTACTTTTACCTAGTAGGGGGTAATAAACAAAATGATAAAAAAAATTAAAATGTGATAAGGAAAAAAAAGCTAATGCCCACCACGACATTATTTAAAGTGGTAACAAACAATAAAGTGATAATGAACTTTTGCTTTGGGATGAAGAAATTAAAATAGAAAATGGTATTCGTATGCATTATATTATTATTATTATTATTATTATTATTATTATTATTATTATTATTATTATTATTATTATTATTATTATTATTATTATTATTATTATTATTATTATTATTAGGTGGAGTCTAATACTCCATCCGTTCCTAAATAAACTTCCTCTTTTATTTTTTCTTTGTCCCCAAATAAACTTCTCTTTTCCCTTAAAAAACCTCTTTTACTCATTATTTTTTCATACCCTACCTATCACATCATACCTTTTTACTAATAATATACCTATCACATCTTACTTTTACACATCACATCAAGGGTATTTTTGGAAAGTCAACACAAAAATTTCACTTCCTTAAATCCTCAAAAAGTCAAAAATGAAAGTTTTTTGAGGACGGAGCTGAGGCCGGTAGTATGATTTAGTTATTTCCTTCCTTTGTTAATTGAGTATAATTTTATTTTTAGTAGCAAACTAGCAATTAGAGGTATGGTAGGTGTAAATTTTATCTAAATTTATTTAGATAAATTAAGAAAGCAAAATAGAATAATGTCACCCAAAATTCACATTTTTGGTGACCAAGGTGTATGCCTCTTAGTTAAAGTGGCACCGGAGTCAAAAAGGGCTACCAGTAGTGAAACATTGATTGCAACATTTTCAAGAGATATGTCCTCTATCTGTATGTTGTAATAAGGGCTGCATCATTCAAAAAAACAAACACCACATGGCATAAGTAAAATCTGAATTTTCATAGTTGATGTTAAGTTTAATTTTTCTAACAACTTAATTACCTTTTGTCAGAGGGACGCAATAATGGGGTGAATATCTGGTCATCGGCACCTTTATCCCTAGCGATCCTACCGTACCCGTTTGGTGCGAAACACATCGAGAATGAGTTCCGAACCAACCCTTGGGACGATAGGAGGCTTGTCACATCCAGCGCACCGTACCCGAACCCAAGTAACCTGCGGTTGACCGGACCCACGTCAAGAAAATCACCCGGTTCAACTTGTCCGCACCTAAAAACAAACAAAATAGAATCAATCATGCACTTAAGAGACTAAGACATGTACACAATGTTATTAAATGCTCCGTATTTAATTTGTGTGCATAATCAAGGAATATAATGAATGAATACACACCCAAATATAACGGGTGCGCTGCTACGGGTGTGGTTGTTGTCGTAGGTTTCGAGGTGCATAACGTCTTTGACGAGAATGCCCCTGGTCGAAGTATTCTTGGCCATATAGACGACTTCAACAACGTCACTCGTTTGTGACGTATTGTAGTTGTACGAGTAGAGGTTTATTTGCTGCGGACCATACAACACATGTTTAATTTGGTTAGCCGCCGTAGAAAATGTTTTGATATTCATGAGGTTATGAAAATTTAAGAATATACTCCGTAGTATTTTAAATCCCTACTTGTTGTGATTTCTGGAAGGAACGGGCACAGCTGCGGCAGCCGCATTGCAACCAGAATGTGGCACTCCCGGTGTCAAGTGCCACCAAAAATGGCACCGGCGGTGGAGCATATAAGTGCATATTCACACAAATCAGACGCTTGTAGGTGGCCAATCGACTGGCCGCCTTCGGCCATATAAAAAAACAATTCAATGAAATTAGGCACTACGATATATATAGACGACCTACATGAGCTTATTTAATTAGTACCCATCAACTTACTTTGCCAAATGCTCGCTCTATGATCTCCGTCGTCACATCTCCTCCGGCAAAGGTGATTGCCGCCGGTGAATCCTTTAGGCGGTGGCGGGCCTGTACGGAATAATATTGGGCCGAGCCCCTTGCCGGCAAACCCTTAGTGCCTAACACTCCAATCACTTCTTCCGAAAAATATTATAACTATAATTATTACGGATTATAAGAGGAATTTACTTAAATAACACTAAAATATAATGACTTTCCCTAAATAGCAGCACTTAGTATACCCATTATTCCCAAGATAAATATAAGGATGGGAAGAATTAAGGCAGCTAATTTAGCCATAATAATGCTTTAAATCTATATATTGGAAGCTAGCTTCACAAGTTTTACAAGTAGTGTGTAGTAGACTGGGGAATATAATCTTGTGCTTGTAGTAGAGCTAGAGAAGCCGGATGCATGCATCATGGGATACTTATAGTAGTCTAGCTAGCAATGGAAGCACTATAACTTACCGCACTAATTACTACCCCCTCCATTCCACAAAACCCTTCCGGTTTTGACTTTGGGAAAAAATAAAGAAAGCGTAATTTTGGTTGACTTTCCAATTTTGCCCCTGATGTGATGGGAAAAAGAAAGATGTGATAGTTTGGTTATAAGTGAAAAAGTATGATGTGATAGGTAGGGTATAAAAAAGTAGGGGTAAAAGTAGTTTTTTAATAGAAAGTGGAACTGTTTTGTGAAAAGCAAAAAAACGAAAGAGGAATGGTTTTGTGGAACGGAGGGAATACGTAATGGCTAAGATTCGAAAAGTTACTTATATATATTTTCAAATTATTTCACACCAAAAAAATAGTGTGAAGTTTCCCTCAATTTTTTCAATCTTCGATCGAAATAGTGCATGTTGATGAGTAGTTTGATCTTAATGGAGTTTTGATGCTTTTTTCTAAATACTCCGTAAGATGGTAATACAAGTTTTTGAGCTTTAATAAAGAAATGAAGATGTTCGCCCCATACTGCAGGCTAGTTCAGTGGCTTATATATAGTCATCATATTTTTACGTGGATGCCATTAATATATACTCCATCCATTCCTGGAAAATACGAGAGTTTTGATTTTGAAGATGGATTTAAGGAAAGTGTATTTTGGTATTGAATTTCTAAAATATCCTTTGATGTGATGAATAAAAGTATGATTTGATGGATAGATTATTAGTAAAAAGATATGATGTGATAGGTAGGGTATGAAAAAGTAAGGGGTAAATGTGATTTTTTAATAAAAAAGAGAAGTTGGGACGTATGAAAGAAGAAATGAGAAATGTTTTCAGGGACGGAGGGAGTACTACGTATATGTGTGTGTGTGTGTGTGTGTGTATATAATGTGATTGGTAGTACTTAGCCAGCAAGTAATTAACGGAGAAGGATTTCTAATTAATTTGGTGCTCTTTTTCTTCTTACAGATAGCTATGCTTTTCACAAATGCATATCAACATTATATGTATATTTAGAATAGCTTTCCATGTGCATAGACACCTTAGGCCTTAGGGAGATAAATTTGGTTGGGTATGGTGTCGGCACTAAATGTTTTTACCTTTTCACTTTATCACTCGTAATTTTACTTGCATGCATGCTATTATTGGGAGTATAAATATTTTATCAATATAATAATGAAATATACTCCGTAACAATAACCAAAGTTTTAGATAACACTAAAACTAAATTCAGTTCCCTAAATTGGACTTAAACTATTTGCTTGAATAATGACTAATTTATAATGACTAAACATGCTATATTGGAAAGAAACACACATGTGGTACTATTTAGAGAAAGTCATTATGTTTTACTGTTATTTAAGTAAATTCCTACTTTTACCTAATATATCCATCACATCCTAGTATCCTACTTTTACTTATCAAATTGAAATGTATTTTTGGAAACTCAATATCAAAATACATTCTCCTAAATCTTCCAAAATCAAAATAAAAAAGGTTTTGTGTGACAGAAAGAGTATATAAAAATTTTTATACTTCGTAAAATAATAGGTGACAAGAGTATAATATTTTTTTAAATGGGTCAAGAACATAATTAAAATTTGATTACGTGTATAAAAAACAAATAATTTAAATTAAGACGGGGTCATAGAGGAAATAATAATCATAAATGAATAAATATAGTGATCAGTTTCGAGTTTCATATATGCTGGGGCCTGGGGACCGTGGCCTTTTACTAACTACTCGTCTACTCCCACATGGCTAAAGCAAAAGTTAGAGATGCAGTACAGAGTAATATGTTTGGAAGTTTTACATTTTTGGAAAACTCACCTTTTAAGATGTTTTGCTTGAAATATACTACCTCCGTATCATTGTTTTTGTCCACATTTGACTTTTGGAAGTGTTCATCTAAACACTTTGACTTATCAAATTCTCTTAATGTGTAAGCCTAAAAATAGTCATGTGTGATCTTGTTTGATTCGTCTTAACATATAGATTATTAATATATAATTTGTATAATTTTTTAATATACAAATTACAAGATAAAATGGATTAAAGAAGTGCATTGGATGGTGTGCCAAAAGGTAAGTGGACAAACACAGTGGGACGGAGGGAGTATATATAATTCAAAAGAGTTCTCCATAATTGATGCTCCAGCATGTAATATACACCATAATTGAAGCCCCATAATGAAAAGCATATTAGTGCATGCCAAAAAAATATTTCAATTTAACCGTCTGTTTCAATTATACAATCAATTAAAAATAAAAGTGTTGGAAATTTAAGATAAATTGGACATTTTTTGGACATAAATTCAGTATGGTCCACAAAAATTATTTTCTCAAATAATTATGGACGTTTAATCTCGTAAGTAAGACGAAAATCTTGACATATTACACACCATAAACGGTGCTCGGGTGAATGAGAAATTAATTCTCAAAGTTAAATACGAGGAAAGAGTAAAAGCTCTTGTCCCACACCTATTTTTGAACCTTTCATACTTTCGTATTTAAGCTTAGGCATTTAATTAAGCTTATGAAAGGAACAAGAAAAGGACTCCTCGCGCACCACCGCAGCCGTCTGGCTCGGCACGACATGACACGCGCGGGTCTGGTTGGGTCGAGGCGTGCCTGCGGAGGGGCGGGGCTAATTTTTTACGAGACTGAATTGTACACACGTGGATACTTCGTGATTAATGAAGAGTGGGTTGTCCAAGGGATATGCATGCATGCTGACCAAAGAGTCACTTGAGACTCCGATCCTTGGTATATATATTCGTCTGGTCTATCCATTAGCCAAACCTCATCCTATTTAAGGAGAGGTTGGTTGAGAGAGCAAGAGCACAAGCAAAACACTCTCTCTGTAATATGTATACTCTTCCGACAAATCCCCGGCTTCCGATCATCTTCTCCGGCATTAACATCTCGCCATTCTCGTTCGTTGGTGCATGGTTTTACCACCCCAAGCCTTGCAGTAGCAGTTTTATACTGGGAGGAGATTGCCCATGTTTGCTAAAGAGGAAGTCGGGCAATACTAACTATAGAAAAGCTCCGGTGACTCTGCTTTCCTTACCTCTGTTCAAGAAATTTCTTCGGCGACACCCTACCCGACATCTGCCCAGCAATCCATTCGTGTTCATGCTTCCGTTTCAGATCGTTCGAGCTTCCCGAAGACTCCAATTTACTTATTTATTATATATCGTTGTAAAATCCGAACGTTTTGGATTAAGTCTATTTATTTTATTCCCGCTGTAGTTCAACAAAAAGTTATAACATATTACTCATATAAAAAACTGTTAGGATTTTGAGCGCGTAAGATACCGAAAAATATTGAAAACACCAAAAAAATGAAAGAACAAACACAAGACCATGTGAGAGAAAAAAATATATTTCCACTATTTCAGGACAATAATATACAAAAAACTTTCCCCTGTTTACAATGCTAAATTCGAGACACTCATAAACATATCTTTCTACATCCTATTCCCGTATGTATTTTTCTGAGTAACTAGATATCAACTACTCCTTACACTCACCAACACTTATCAAAGCCCATTGGATTTTCTGGGTGGTATTCTTGTGTAAAATTCCTCTATGTTTCTCTCTGACTCTCTCTACCTTGGTGATGTGTTGAAAACCACACATACATAAATACTTTGTAGCTTTTCACTTCTAAAGGGCAAAGAGAAGTACACTTATTTGCCCCAATCCATTTGCTATTGCTACATGAGAGAATCCCTTCATGTGCATACTTCTACCTTTTTTATAGTTAACTCCACTCATGGAGTACTTTAACTTTCCCTTTGTCATGATCTTCTTTTATTTTTCTTTTGTTTTCTTTTTGAATATTTAATCAATATTTCCCAACAAAAACTACTTTTAATGTATTATTTTTAATACTCCGCGGTTCTTTTTTTGCTAATACTTCCTCCGTCCCATAATCAATGTCATACATTGAACCACGTGCAAAATCTTATTACTTTTAAAATAATTTTAATTACAAATCAATATAGAAAATAATTAAAATACATAAATTATACTGTTCAAAAGTACATAAAAATTATAGAGTAATAGGTGACCAAAATATTTTAAATTATCAAATTATCAATGAAAATATATACATAAATAAAGCTTATCAAGAAACCATAATGGTAACAGCGATATCACTTTGGGACGGAGAGAGTATATTTTAAGAAATATTGTTGGCCAAAGATTAGGTTTGAAAAGTAAACCCGCAAATTAAAAAGGAATGAATAGTACCATTGCGTGCCTAGATTTATACGGAGTAATAGGCTGAATTGCATCATTGGTCTTTTAATAAGTTAGTGTCATGTACCGTTACTCTTTCAAATTTGATTTCACGAATACTCCTTCAATTCAGTAAAACTATTTTGATTGGTAATGTTTTATCAGAATACATATTTATAATACTATTCACAATTTTATACTGGGGTATTAAATATCTTTTTCTATAATAATGTACATTAGCTTGTATTTGATTTTAATATTTGATCATATAAAAAAATACTACAACCGTCTCTTGTTCTATACAGTTTTGATGAAGGATTTTTTTATATTTTACATCAATGTCTAATTAAATAAATATTTCAAAATCTAACTTTATTTATGTATCCTATATATATATGTAAAAGAGGGTTTCAAAGTTGTGGTGACGACACGTGTCATGCCACACGTGCATACTAATGACACGTGTCCCGCCACGCGTATATCACATGACACATGTACGTCCATCCATGCATGTGAGTTAATTTTGTATTAAATAATCCGTATTTTTATTTTTTATAAACTCTTCACTTTCCAACAATAAAAAACTATTATTTTTATTAACTTTTTATAAACTCTTCACTTTCTGACTATGTTAAAACCAATTTATTGTTTTGACGTATCTTAAAAATATATGCACGATTATTTTATAATTTTAGAAAACTTATGTATATAATTTATTGATTAAAAAGATGTTGCTTATAATTTTTAAAATTATCCATCATATCAAAAAAACTAATTACATATAAATTTTATCACACGTGCATCTTTATTAAATACATAACATATTTTAGTTGTTTTTCTTATTACATTACTTATTTTACTATATTTTTTCAGAAAACTAAACAAAGTAAAAATTTAATTGAAGGATTACATGTGGCACATACAAATATGCATTATCTAATAATGTGACATTCCTTAATTGATCTATTCGAGATTTTTATATTAATTTTTATTAATTAAAACAATTTTCATTATTATTTTATTTGATGACCATTAATTTTGCATAAAATGTTTATGTCATGGAGGCACTACACCTCCCCACATGTCATGTGGCACATGTATATATTTATTATTATTAAATTTTTATAAAAACTTCACTTTCTTACATTAAATAACTTATATTAAATTTTTATAAATCCTTCACTTTCTTACACTAAATAAGNTTTTTTTGGCAACATTATTAAATTTTTTATATAATATTTCAAAACATTAAATTCAATAAACTAGATTTGTTTTTGTTCTAGGATAACATGTGGCATATAGGTCATATACCACATACGAATCTTTCAATGATTTATCATTACTTAATTAGTTTATTTTGCATTTTTATTTTATTTTTTTAATAATTATATCAAATTTCAATATTATTTCATTTGATAAAAATTTGATAATTTTGGTCAAGTCGCTCTATATATACTTTGACCATAAAGTGTACAAAAAATATATTATATTTAATTATAATGTAAATTTTGAAAAAATGTATCTATTTAAAATATTATTTTCATATATCAAGTTTTTATGACATTTAATTATTTAAAATTGTATTTAAAGTATTACATAGTTTTACCAAAAAATCCTAAAAGGGAGTATATAGATTAAAAATCTTAATATATTTTATTTGATTATTGTATTTATTTGGAGTTTATATGTTATACCATTTAAAAATATGTAACATACATAATTAGTTATATATCTAAAAAAGGTATAAACTTTATTAATCTTTTAAAAAAGAAATTCTGACGTTGTTTTCAATAAGGTATTTATCATTTTATCTTTTATTACTTCATCAAGGTAAAAATCACGGCTAGCCAAATTTATGCTGTTTCACACACACACACACACACACACACAGACACACATACATACATACATACATATATACATACACACACACACACATATATATATATATATGTATATATTTGTGTGTGTGTGTGTGTGTATGTATGTATATGTATGTAAAAGATAGTTTAGGGGTTGTAGTGTTGACACATGTCATACGTGACAAGGCAGTAAACGCCAACGCGTACAGACCTCAAACATTAAACGCCAACGTGTAGGCCAATGTGTGCAGACACTAAGCATTGATGTTCGTCTTTCGCAATTCTCGCTTCAATAGTAACATGTACAGATGTCCAGCCGTCATATATCCCCAACGAACATCAAAACACCAAAATGAACATCAACCGGTACAATGCCAAAATGAACATTTAAAATCATTACAAAAAATGAATCTCTTCAACCACCAACATCAAATTAAAAAACCCCAAAATAGAATAATATTACTCTTCACATTTCACAAAACAAAAAAATACAATGTAGCCTTTCAAAATCCTACAAAACCAAAACATACACTGTACAACCCTTTAACAAATGCCCAAGCGTAGCACGGAAGAAAATTAAATCATAAACCAAACTCTCCATTTTCAACCATCGCATCAATAACATTATGACAACGAGCCCTAATAACAAGCCCGTGCGTAGCACGGGGTAGAAAACTAGTATATCTTAAAATATATACTTCCTTTGTCCCAAAAACTTCTTCCATTTTCTATTAAAAACTCACTTTTATATGCTCCCTCCATCCCAAAATATTTGACACACTTGTTTTTTCATAGTGGCGGGAACTTTTGTTTATTTCTACATTTTCATTGGTTATTTGATAAAATAAAATATTCTTGACACCTCTCATTTCGAAATTTTTTTTATGTAGTTTTTTGATAGGTAAATTTTATTTTTTATTTTTATACCAATATGTAAATAAAATAAATTTAAAAAACTTGATATTGTCTCGTGAATACAAGTGTAACAAATATTTAGGGACAGAGGGAGTGTGTGTGTATATATATATATATATATATATATGGTGGTAGTGTTGTTCATAATGGTATAGAGCAGTGTTTTGCTTGTAGCAGTGCAGCATCGTAGAGGGCGGCGGTGGTGGAGATTCAAGTGATAGTGGCAGGTATGTGCCGAAAAAGATGGCGGTGGTGGGCTTCACCGTCGATGATGATTGCGGTAGTGGGCGTCGCTGTCAGTATAGCATGCTGTTTTGAAATTGGCCGAATTTTTTTAGTTTTGAACATGAGGTCCGTTCCGTAGGACTTATTTTTTCTACTTATTACTTATTCTTATTAAAATCAGATTAGATCGGACCAGACCTAATAAGATCAGATTAGATCCAATAAGATCAGATTAGACTTAATCAGATCAGATCAGACTCAATCAGATCAGATCCATTTAGATCAGACCAAATCCAATCAAATCAGATTAGATCCAATCAGATCAAATCAGATCCAATCAGATTTGATCAGATCAAATCCAATAATATCAAATCATGAAAAAAATATAAATGATAATATTTATATTTTTCAAGGATTAAATAATAATTACTCCCTCTGTCCTAATTCTTTCTTCCCAGTTTGACTTTTCTCCATTTTTAATTTTTGGCTTTGAATTCAAATTTTACCTCCTTAAAAAAGTTTTTTTGATTTTTTTTAAAATCAATCAAAATATATAGTTAGAAGATAATTGGTGTAAATACATGAGGGTATTAATGTCATTTGTCATCTTTTTTTTTCTAATGGGGAGGTAGTTTTAGGACGAAGAAAATGAGGAAGTGGGAAGAAAGTTTTAGAACAGAGGGAGTACTATTATTTGATTAAATCACATTAAAACTACACACACCTAAATCTTATTTAATATTATAATTTTAAATAATATTGTTGTATTATTATTATTATTATTATCATTATTATTGTTATTATTATTATTGTTATTATTATTATTATTATTACTATTATTATTATTATTATTATTATTATTATTATTATTATTATTATTATTATTATATTTCAACTACAAACCATTATTTCATATAATTGTTTAGCTTGTAGGATAGAAATGATGCATGGAAGCAATGTTAAAGCTTAAAAAGTTTTATTTTTCATACTTTAAAAAGAGTTATTTTAAAATACTTATTTATAAAATAATTATACAAAACTTAGTTTTCAAAACTATAAATAATTTATACCTAAAAAGACTTACTTTTAAACTTTAAGATGATATAATATACTCAAGGGTGAGTTTATGACAAAATTGATAGAGGTGAAAGCGATAATAGTGTTTAAAAAAAGTTTAAACATATTAATGATTTGCTGATTTTCTTATTTTACTTTTTTTATGTTTATATGAATTGCGATACTTTAAAATTATTAAATTTTGTAATAATTTTAAGTTTAGTTTAAATCAAATTGAAATTTATTTACACCGGATCTAATTAGAGAAAATCATATCTAATTAGATAAGATTCAATCAGATTAGATCAGACCCAATCAGATCAGATCACACCAAATCAGATCAGATCAGATCCAATCAGATCAGATCACACCTAATCAGATCAGATCAGATCCAATCAAATCAGATCAGAACTTCAAAGATTCAGATCAGTTTTAATCTGATCAGGCATATGGAACAGAGCATTGGCCACCACCGGTATTGGCCGCAAATGTAGCGAATGTGGGGAGCATTTTTTTGTTTTATTATTTAAGTGAAAATCCTTATTTTAACTGTTTATAAAAATAAAAAAAATGAAAAACTCAAAAACATGAATGCAAAAAAAATTAGTTGCATTTGGTGGGTATCTGATCGTGCTCCTTATTATAGTCACATGCATCTTTAAAATAAATGCGTGTGGGGAGCATTTTTTTGTTTTATTAATTACATTAATTACTCCTATTTAGAGAAATTTAAATTTGAACTCTTATTTCGATGATTTAACATGTGTTTTAATCTTAGTTTGTTTCTTCTCCCTAATATTATTACATAATCATTAAAAAATTATACTCCCTCCGTCCGGGAATGATAGTCCCATTGTACGTTTTTCTCCGTCCGGGAATGATGGTCCCATTGTACCCTTTTTCCTCTATTCTCCCTAAAATACCCCTCTCATTTAATATCCTCACATTCACTCCTATCTACCTAACCCACCTCCCCAATTAAACTCTCTCGCCCACCTCCCAGATCTATACTCTCTCTCTCTCTCTCAGTCGGTTCTTCTTCTCTCCCAATCCCTGTGCTTCTCTCGTTCCTCTCCCAGATCTATACATCTCCGCCTCAAATCATGGAATCTGAATACTTTCTTTACGATTCCATCATCCCTGAGACGGAATTTCAGGACATTGGAGTTGAGGACGATGTGATTCATCTATCTTCCACCTCTGACGCGAAGAAGGAGGACGAGGTCATCGTCATCCACAGCGATGACGATGATGCCGATGTTGCCCCGGTCAGAGATAAGAACGCGGTTATCGTCCTTGACTCTGATGAAGATTCACTGTTTGGGAGCGAGGAAGATGGCAGTTTTGAGGATGTAGAGGGGTCTGAATTTCTTGAGAATCAGACTTCTCCATCCATGAACTCTTGCATGCACCTCCACATCGATCTGCTGAACATATTAATGCCCACCC